ATTTCGTTCACTGATGACGAGATCGACAGTCGGCCAGCCAACCAGCCAGCTAGCCAGCTTTCCGCGCGGTGGTTTGCCCGCAATGTCAAGAACAGGGGAGACCTTCGCCACGAATTCCAGCTGCCGATTAACGTATTTCAACCGGTTCGAGGCTACCTCGTTACACGACGCGACACGCGACGCTCTCCCGCGAGATATCGTCACGCGATTCCAACTCCGCGGCTCCGCTTTGACCGTATAACCGTACGCGATTTCTGTGTCGAGTCTCTTTCGATAGTTCTCCCCGAGACGAAACAGCGAGATGCACGTGTCTGGTACCTAGCACGTAGCGTGTAACAAAATCACAGTCGCATGCACGTAGTTATGTCGAAACTTATAAGACTATAAGTACGTACTCTAGGTCGTTAGGGATATATTTGCCGAGAAACACCGACAAATTTACTCGGCATTTCACATCACAACATACACGTGTCGCATAAACGAAATGATACATTTATAATGGAGTAATTATACAATAGTGTACTATAGGGTTACATCACGAGGCACGTGTAATACAAATGAAGTAATAGATTTATAAATATAATTACAAAGTGATTATATTTATATAAATTTATAAAGTAATTATGTGTAACGAAATAATAGATATAGTAATAAAGTAATTATATATACGTATAAGGTGAGATTAATCAAAGCCGCGTTCTTAAACAATAAATGATAATAACATATCCTTGGCACAATAATAAAGTAATATATACATGTATATAAGGTGAAACTAATTAATTAAGACGCGTTCTTAACGAATAAATGATATATCCTTGGCGTAATAGTGAAGTAATTATGAAATTATCAAGAAGAAGACGTATTATCGTTTGGTCACTCGTTATGGTCCGTAAACCAGTTACTAGCAAGAGGTTAACGAATAAATGATAATAACATATCTCACTGACTCGCACCGTACGATCGACACAGAACGACGACGAAGTGACAGGAAGTCGAGAAGATCGGTCCTTATATGGGAGCTCGACTCCTTTTCGACGCTTAGTACACGTGTTCGGGGGAAAGTTGAGTTTTTCCAGGGATGTTGCCAAGATGGCCGAAGGTTAGTCCTAGCGACGTCTGTGGTTTATTGGATCTGACTGCGAGGCCAAGGCCAGTGGTACGCATCCTCCACGTATAAAATAAAAGCGGTCAATTTGTGTTAAATATGCAAAAAAATTGCCAATTAAATTTTGTAATCAATCAATTTGTATTAATAATATCATATAATTAATATTTGATAATTATGTGTAAAGAATATATATATTTAAAAATAATTATACAATTTACGCAATTATACACTTGTACAATTCGACGTTTAGTCGATAGCTCGCGTAGAATCCAATTGACTTGCGTCTCTACTTCCGAGTATTTATTTATAGTCTTCAGGTACCACTAATTCTTTCTAGGGATTTCCTTCTAGGGAGATCCTTTGCGTTTGTTTAATGTTTTTCCTTTAACGTGAATTTTATTGTACTGCTTCATACTTTCTTCTTTACATGTTTATTTGAATTAAATATCGAACCGTTCGAATATGTCATTTTTGCTGAAATTTTGCAAATTGCAAATCGGCGTGTTAAAAAGTTTGGCCAGCAAAATATAACTTTAGAGACTCGCGTCATTCCGGCTACCTCGATTATTTTGCACGATAATTATCGTCGGTAAGTAACGTGAGTAAATTGACAAATTACCGACTGTGTTGACCGACTGTGTAGCTACCTCGTGATTGTACAATTTTCAAAAGGCGTGCGTGAAAACATTTGTCAGGAAAGGTGCAGGAAATGAACATTTATCGCTATCAGGTGTAATCGATTTAATCTAACGGTGTCGGCAAATTGTTTTGCAAATGTCAAATTCGTTTCGGTCGTTTCGCTTTTTTTTTTCGAAGTGGTGACGTCACTTGCCACCACGAGATCGATATCTGCCATTATTGTTGCTGTTCTGCCAAACAGCGTACGTCAGAGTGGATCTCCTGTTTCAAAGTTAGCCGTTTAATGTATTTATACGTGAATTTTTCTTCGTGTGGTGTTAAACGGTCACTGATGTCATCGATTGATGCATCGATGCATTTTATGCGATGGAATATCGGTATCGTGTCACACAGTTAAGTATGTGCGCACGTTTGAAATACTTGAATATTTCAGTCAGAAATTCTCAGAGTTGCGTCCGGACTTTTTGTTAAATTGTCTACGAAGAAGAAAGGACATGTCACGTACGTCTTCGTATACGCCACGTTGTAGGAACAATTATTAGAATGGAAAGAACAAGTTAAACTATTGTATATCTAACCACTCGTATACTCTGTGTATAACGAAGACGTGTTGCATAAAAGAATTTCTAAGGCTACCCAGTTGCTGCCGTCATCGCGACCGATATTTATCAATACACCGTTGTCGTAAAAAAAAAAAAAAAGAAAAAAAACATTCAAATCACCTGCAAACTATCTACATCCGTAAATACGCGGATTTTTGTTTTATTTCTGAAAAGATTCATTTTTCAACTGAAAAAATTACGGACAGGTGAAACTACAATGATACATTAGTTTTGTAGACTTGTACGTACAGTGTGTACATCGAGTGTTTTGCTTCGAAACAGATTTAGGTCATTTTTTTTTTTTTTTAATCTTTTTTTTGTCAAGTCGTTCCAAGAAAGACTGTGTTCTTATAAAAAAAAAAAAAAATATGTGCCTTTCAGAAAATTACTACCTGTCACGATTAAGAAAAAAAGAAGTTAATTTTATCTTTGTCTGGCGACGAATCGAGTTTTCTGCAGTTAAATCGGTGCCGTTCAGTGTTACGGTAATCGAAACTCGTGAGGCTAAACATCACGAATTTGCATTTTCCTCGATCACGTTGACATTGAACGCGTGTACGTATGCACGTGTCTATCTTGCTCCGCGTAGCGATTAGTCTCATTATTGAATGCTCGGAGAGATAACGATCTTTCACGGTTAGCGAAGGAATTCTCTCAGACAACGCTGGCTTTTGATATTTAAACTACAGTTGGAAAACGAATTTCCGTTTGTATCTGATCTCGATCGTTCATTTTGTCTCTGGACAAAAAACGTGGGACAATTCGAGAATGAGTTATTAACAGTGAATTTTTTTTCACCTTATTAATTGTATTTCGAATTTGTTAGGTACTATTATTTTATTTTGTAGCAATTTAACAGATTCAAGTGCCCCTGAGAAGGGACAGTCATAGAGACAGTTAATGTCACTCATTTTTCTCTTTTCTTTCGACAAAATGATACACGCGACGTACGTACATATGTATCTTTTAGATGTAGCTGGTTGAAACGCCTCAAAGAAGGTAACAAATGGTTCCAATTATGTTACGAAAGGTTGCACGGATCAGTGATTCTTATTTGACGAGACAAAAACCATGTAATAGCGACCCCTTAAGTGGAGTCTAGGTCAGATTTGATCGTTCCTCGTGTGTGTCGTATACGACGTTGAGAACCAACGTGTCCCGCTTGGAAAGTTGGAAAGTGACTTTGAAGTGGCCTCTGTACTTATTATTCCACAATTATTTCACTGTTACCTCAAATTATTGCACGAAGAAAATATTCATCTACATATTATAATAGCTCTCGAAGCGAAGAAATTTGTTTCCTCAATCGAAAAAAAAAATCGTTCATAATGAAATTGAAACTATTAATTTTTCGACCCATGTTTATTAGAACTTTTCTTTCAGCGAGTTTATCTAACCTAGAAATTGATCCCTTTTTTCTATTCACCCTGTATATAAGTCAACCAGAACGCTGATTCGTTCGTATGATTCGAATTTGTGATCAATTGGTAACTCGAATAAAATTAAACTCGACCTTTCTCCGATTCGCATTTCTCCCCCACTCTTCGATCGTTTGCACTATCAATGAGCGAGCGTCTCGTGATTATGAACAGTAATGACAATTAATTGAGAATGATCAACGTCTGGAACGTTGACAGTTCGTCTGTTGCTAAATATACACATATAAGGCAACAATCGATCGCGAAAGTTGTTTCGTTTCTGTTCATTGACAGCACAACGTGTTGGCAATAGTGCTACGAAAAAAAGGAGCAACGTCGTTTGGATGGATATTAAACTAACTAGAGATACATGATAAATACATCCGCTCCTACATTCACGCGGACTATCCGTTCCACGTGGATTCGTTTCACGTGAAACGGGGAAGAAAACAAGATATTGGAATGAAAATCTGATACAAGTTATAAAAATACATATTTATTGCACACTGGTTAAAAGAGGAAAGAAAAATATTATAATAATGACATTTCAGAAAACAAAAGTAAATTTCATTCTATGTCAACGATCAATCTTTTCTTTTTAGTTGGATCATTATCCTTGTAGTTTGAAATATTTGAAAGTTCGACTTCGTTCTCATTTTGTTAATGTCAATCTTTTCGGATTGATTCGTTCTCAAACTTATCTTTCGCTAGATTTTCGTAAACTTGAATACCGCTGGATAACCGTTTTGTAGAAAACGGGCCAAACTTTTCTACCTTACGCGCCAATTTTTTTCTCAAGTGAGCCTCTAAATTATTTTAACAACAAAAGTGTGTTTATAAATAGTAAATGTGTAAAAAGAACGTTAGAAAAAGACAAAAAAAAACTCACTTTTTAATGAAATTTAAATATTTGCTCTTGACCAAATTATTTGTGCTATGTTAGGTTATATTATATCTTTGCGCATTGCGTTGGTCACCCTTACGCTACAAGTGTTTTTCATTTGTGTACTGTTGCTGTTACTTTTAAAAATTCTAGGGAAATATATTTTCTAACCGCTTGTATATACCATCGCGTAACTAGTGTTATAATTGTAGAAAGACTCGCGTAAAAGCAAGTACCGCGTAAATGAAAGGACGTACTTTTACACTTATCTTCTTTCGCAAACCCTCATCCCCCTTTTGATCGATCAGTCGAGGATGCATTTCTGGAGAGTACGTTTCGCGTGATTGCAGCGAGGACGACAGGTATGTGAAGGTGGCGTGGAAAGACGTGAAGGTCGGCGACCTGGTTCACCTCTCGAATAACGAACTCGTGCCGGCCGATGTTCTCCTCCTACGAAGCAGCGATCCACACGGCGTTGCGTACCTCGACACGTGTAATCTCGACGGCGAGACGAATCTGAAGGAACGGCAGGTTGTCCGAGGCTTCGTGGATCTTCAAGATACCTTTGAGCCGGCGAAATTTCGATCGGTGATCGAGGTCGATCAACCGAGCACGAGGATATACCGGTGAGAGCTGTCCGTCGATAAACAATGTTTGTTGCGAAGACAATAATTACTAGAGATACACGCCAGAAATAGTTACTAGAAATAGAGAGCAGAGATCGACGAGATGTGTCAATATGAAAAAAATTGCAGGTTTCACGGAGCCGTGGTACACCCGAACGGTGGCAGAGTACCTGTTTCTACGGAGAATCTTTTACTCAGGCAGTGTTTGTTAAAGAATACCGACTTCGTTGAAGGTATAGTGATATACGCCGGTCACGAGACGAAAGCGATGCTCAACAACGGCGGACCTAGATGCAAGGTATTTCTAGCTATAGCAATATATCTACAAAAAAAAAAAAAAAAAAAAAAAATGAAAAGTACTTAAGGGGTCTAGGTTCTTTGAATAACGAAGAAAGAATTTTTTCAGCGTTCACGATTGGAGAAGCAAATGAACAGCGACGTGATATGGTGCATGGTGATTTTGGTGGTGTTATGTACGATTGGCGCGGTCAGCTATCGATTTTGGATCTCCCAGTTTTCCGACCAGACGTTCGTCCCGTTCATCTCAATCCTTCAAGATCCGAACTACGAGAGCATGCTAACGTTCTGGACGTTCGTGATCATTCTCCAAGTGATGATACCGCTGAGCCTTTACGTCACCATCGAAGTGGCGAAAGTGGGCCAAGTTTATCACATCGGGCACGATATCGCCCTTTATGACGCGGAGACGGGACGCTCGGCTGAATGTCGCGCGCTCAATATCACGGAGGAATTGGGTCAGGTGAGTAAATTGATCGCGAGCTTGTGCGTGGTCTCGATAAGGAAGCAGCACCTCTTCTTTTTTTCTTTTTCTGTTTCTTTTTCTTTTTACTCAATAGGTGCAGTATATATTCTCTGATAAAACCGGCACGCTGACGGAAAATAAAATGCTGTTCAGACGGTGCGCCGTGGGGGGACAGGATTATTCGCACGGCGGAGACGGTGAGAATTTGATACCGTCGTCACGGCTGAAGGAAGACCTTCTTATAGGCACATTCAGGCATCATCTGCAAGAATTTTTAATCGTATTAGCGATATGTAATACCGTTGTGGTCAACTCGCAACCTCACTATGACACCATGAACTCTAGCGGGGTGATTGAAAAGCCTCAGATAAACGGCGAAGAATCTGGAAGGTTTGTGTACATTCTTGTTTTCGTGAACTCTCGTATATGCTCGTCGAAATTTGATCCACGTATTTCGATTTGTCGACATCGAACAGATAGAGAAAATCATCCTGTTGAAATAAAAATTTAATTCAAATTTAATTCAAAATTAATAAAATTAGTTTTTCGTAAAAAAAAAAAAAAAAAAAAAAATAGATTAGAAGAAACTTTTGGCCCACCCTTACAAAAATAACACTCTGATACATAAGGATTGACGAGTCACTAATTATTTACCATTCGTTGTTGCAGATACACGAGAATGATAGATTCTAGAAGCTTAACTCCTTCGCCAATCATTCCTCTATCTGTGCTGTCTCACCCGACCAATAGTCTCGATGAAAACGTGTCATCGATTTCTTCGATGGTTGAAATAGAATCGGTGCTCCATAATTCCACTAACAATAAGCTGTCGAATAAATTACCGAGGTCATTACATATACTTTTCTCAGTGTGATTTCGTTTCCTTTTTTTTTCTTTTTTTTCTCATTCCAGCGTATCATTTGTAATTAATTGCAGGCCGAAATTTTTAAATGTGACGTCAATATCGAGTTTAGGAATGGGATTGTTAGGAAGGAAACTGTCCCCGAACGGAGAGCACAAGAGACGCAGTCCGCTAAGTCCCGTTACTGACGAGAGTGGGAAGAGCAGAGACGAATTGTTACCTACGGCTGCGATTTACGAAGCGGAAAGTCCGGACGAGCTTGCTCTAGTGAACGCTGCACGTGCTTACAACGTAAAACTCGTTAAACGAACGGCGCGTAGCGCAATCATTTCCTTGCCGGATAAATCTGTTCTTACTTTTGAAATTCTTCACGTAAGCTTGTCTCTTCGTGGACAAATCTCCTTATCTCTCGTTAGCGAAAGCGTAATCAGGGTAGTTTTAAAAACGTGCCAACGCTTCAAATTACAGGTCCTACCGTTTGACTCCAACAGAAAATGCATGTCCATTTTAGTCCGGCATCCCATCACTAACGAGCTAGTGTTGTATAGTAAGGGTGCCGATACAACGATTCTATCGTCTCTGACCCCCCAGGATGAAAATTCTGTAACGACGATCAAAGTTCGACAGTATCTTCAGTCGTACGCGCGTCAAGGTCTTCGGACTTTGATGATGGCTAAAAAATCTCTGACAACGCAGGAATACGAAAACTGGCGGCAAATGCATTCCGAGGCGGAGCTTGCGATGGAAAATCGTGAGGTCCGCATTAAAGATTCATACGCGAGTCTCGAATGTCATTTAACTTTATTGGGAGTCACTGGAATTGAGGATAAACTTCAAGCTGGAGTACCTGAGACTATGGACACTCTAATGGCAGCAGGGATCGTAGTGTGGGTCTTAACAGGTATCTTTTTCATTGCACAGTAAATTCAAGTTAAAAATCTATGGTTAATAAAATGTGGTGTTAAATTGAAAGGAGACAAGCCAGAAACCGCAGTTAATATTGCATACTCAGCGCGTCTTTTTTCGCCTGCGATGCAATTATTGTGGTTACAAGCAAGATCAAAGTCTGTTGCTGAGGCCTTAATTCATGGATATTTAGAGTCTGCACGTAAAGATAGTACAACTCAGGGGATGGATAACATTAGAGAAATCACAATGTTTAATCGCGACGTGGCAGAGAATGATGCACATAGGGCAGATAGCCCATGGCCGAGACAACGTGCACTCGTTGTCGATGGCAAAACCTTAACTGTTATCCTTGATCCACGATCGGGATTAACTCGACTGTTCCTTGAATTAACGAAAACGTGTTCTAGCGTATTGGCCTGTAGAGCCACACCTCTTCAGAAGGTATAGTAAATTCATTTTTACCTTCACGTTTACTTCACAGTTTCCACAGTTTATCTCATGGACTTTTTTGGTATTGGTTTTAGGCATATATTGTACGTATAGTGAAGGAGCAATTAGGAATGAGAACTTTAGCAATTGGTGATGGTGCCAATGACGTTAGTATGATTCAAACGGCAGATGTAGGGGTTGGTATCTCCGGGCAAGAAGGTACACAAGCTGTCATGGCCGCAGACTTTGCCATTTCAAGATTCTCAATGCTTAGCAGACTTCTTTTGTTGCATGGTCATTGGTGTTACGATCGCTTGTCTAGAATGATCTTGTATTTCTTTTACGAGAACGCTACCTTCGTTTTCGTTCTGGTTTGGTATCAGGTATAGTATTATATATTTTATTTTATTTCTAATACGCTAGTTTTTACAAATAGTTTTTTTTTAATAGAAATGATTTGTTGTTTTGGCAGTTGTACTGCGGATTTACTGGAACAGTTATGGTGGACCAAATATATTTAATGCTCTATAATTTAGTGTTTACGTCTATGCCACCACTTATGTTAGGTATATACGATCAAGTAGCTTCACCTGGCGTTTTATTATCCATGCCCCATGTGTACAAAAGAGGACGTCTCGGGCTTGTATATCAATCGTATACATTTTGGATAATCATTGCTGATGCTTTGTATCAAAGTATCGTTATTTTCTATGTAAATGAGGGTGTTAGTATAGTCTCAAAATACCTTGATATAATACAAATTAATACAGTGACATTATTAGAACGCAACTATTTTGTTTAGGTATACTATGATTCAGATATTGACATTTGGGAGTTTGGAACTACTATATTGACCTGTTCCATTGTTATCGTGTTGACCAATATTGCCATAGAAATTAGATCTTGGGTAAATTAATTTTTTGTAAAGTGACTGTAATCCAAAGATATATTCCATTGAATATTGCATGTTGTAAGACGCGGTTTTGTTTTCAGACGTTAATTCATCTTTTTGCTGTATTGGGATCATTGGGAATATTTTTCGGTTTTTGTTTAATTTATAACCTAGTTTGCGTTAATTGTATGGGTCTCCTATGTTCGTATTGGGTAATGGAAATGGCTGTCATGAGATACACGTACTGGCTTACAGTAATACTTACCTGTGTTCTAGCATTGATGCCTAAGTATGACTTTTACATCTTACATTTTAACGCTTGGTAAATGTTGCAAAAATTAAATTACATGCAATTTTTATTATTGTTTATCCAGATTATTTTATAAAACCGTAAAATCGACAATAAATCCAGATCTCGTACAAAGTGCCACGTTTAATGCACCATTAAAAAGTGGTAGCCATAGACAACGAATCGCTGAGAGAAGTGAAAATAGTTTTATTGCTGGTTGGTCACGTTCAACGCAGCATGTCACTATAAGGTATGCACACGTTTTATCTCTTTAAATACAGAATATGGATTTTGAATTATTAAATATATTCTTTAAATTTTTTTTTATATTTCAGAACTGAGACTAAACACGATACGTTGACAACTATCGTTGCATGACATATCTCGAAAAATCAAAAAAGACTGTCAGCCTGTAACAGAATAATCAAGATTATTAACAGTGCTGTTTCGTCGAAACTGTCAGGACAAAAGCATGTTCTTCGCCGCATTTTAATCTGTACTGTTCCTAAGAATCTGTAAAAGTATTGTCCTGAAAAGTGTATTATTAATTTTAATATGCATTTTTTCACCAAAAGAACATTACACCTTATCGAAGCTATATCGATCGTTGTAATCAGCGTTTACCATCGATCGTTTTCGTTATTCATCGAGTGGCCTTAAATCCAGACTACTATTGTTTATTGCATTTGATGGCTGTGACTTTTAGGGACCAAAACTTTTAATCCAGTAGTAATATCAACGTCAATTGATTGAAAGGTTCACGTAGACACGAGTTGAATGTTGAATCAGCTTAATAACTTTTATTCGAGTTGCAACCGTTTTCCTTAGATATGGATATAAAAGAGTGTATAATTGTAAAAAGAGAAGTTAAATGAATATATTATATATCTATGGAATTCGTACTACATAAGTTACAAAGTAAGTCAGCGCTGATCATACGAGTGTGGTGCATGTGAATTTTACACTCGGAATATTGTATTATTGTAATTTCGAAAACACGTACGTGTACGATTTGCCAGCGTAGAAGTTTTATTAAACGTGTATAATCCGTGTTGGATGTCGTAACAACACTCTACTTGCAGGTAGTAGACATAGTATTTTGATAAATGATTAAGAAAAATCTGCGTGTATATAGCGATAACAAGTAAAAACGAGTGTTCTGTACTTTGTCGTTTCATTCATATCAGATTTCTGTTGCCTCCTATAAATCCTTTAACAATATCAGAGAATACCATCGTACCTTCGTTTCCATTTCCAAAGTATCTCCAAACGTGATTATCCCGATTGTAAATATTTCTATTAATTACACATTTCTTCCAAGATAATCGCATTATCCCCTTACCTTACCTTACCTTACCTTACCTTACCTTACCTTACCTTACCTTACCTTACCTTACCTTACCTTACCTTGTGTTGTGTTGTTTCATTCCCGTTTAAATGTGATTTTCAGTTAACAGCGGTTGGTGAGCACCACTGGTTGATGCGGAAACACGAGGTATAGTAGGGATAGAAACGCGAAGCGAATGGTGGGGACAGCGGGGGATCTTTTGGCGTGCTGCGACGGCTATCTCAGTCATATATTCAGTATTCTTTCTGTAAAAGGCAGGGCTTGTGTGCACGATATGCTTGCCGCTTGATTGTGCTAGTGCTCGGGGGAAACTCGCGATCAGCTGTGCCTCGAATCCTGTAAAGATGAATTTCGTTGTATAAAGCGTGCGTAGAATGGAAGGGCAAAGTGGAGCATAAGGCACGTTCAAGGATCCGTTCCCTTTGTCACGAAATTACTCGATTTGCTCGAAGATGCAGTACTCAAGTTTCTCGATCTGTTCTCACGCTAATTCAGTTTTTCGATAAAAATTTCTTTTCGTTCCCGTGTTACAAAGATATCTCGTGTTTTTAGACCTCGAGTGAGGAGAGCAATTTCGAAGTCACGTGACAAGGAAAAGGATCACTGTGCGTCAACAAAGAGCACGCGTTCCTCGTAGACGTGTATGAAATTTTAAACTAGAGTCTTTAAGTTAACGAATCTGTTCTTATTTAACTTTTCGAAACAGAACTACTCGTCTCTACTTGTGGTACTATTCATATTGTCGACATTGCCTTAGTTTCACGCTGTGTTGCATTGAGTGTAGCCAAAATAAATACGTATTTACATCAGAAACACTAAATTGTTACACGATTGTTCCATACTTTTTCATCGCGTCATTTCGTTTGCCCTTAAAGAACGACACGTGCTCGCTGCGATTCTAAGGATAAGATTGAAACTTTTCAAACGTTGTGTCAGAAATAGTAATCAGTATCACGTGATTAATATATGACTGCATATGAATGACCTGATATTTTCTAAATCGTGTATCACTTAAATTTTTACAGTCCATACTTCTCATACAAATGTATTTCATACACAAGAACAAAGATAATATTTATCAACGTATACCTAACAGAGAGGGACACTTCGTAGAAGGACATTTACAATGTTATCACAGCGTCGAGTGCAGACTGAATGAACTTTTTATATTAGCGATATCGAAATCCCTGGTATTAGTACAATTAATTTTGGTAATAAAGCTTACTGTGTCTTTTAGAAATCTGTCGAAACACAAAGAACAAACGACGCGACGTTTTGTGTGTATCTATTCGTAGAAATTCGATAGCAAGAAAGTAAAGCAGGACGATAGTGGGCTGCCTGTAGCGTGATAACGATCCATCGTAACAAGGTTACAAATCAAACTTGCAAACCGCTGATCACCACGATGCATTGCTGGCGAAGAATGGATGTAAAATTGCGAAATTTTGCGCGATTTAGAACGTAAATGAGTCATTGCTCTGAAAACGGAAGTGAACAAAGGCTCGGTCGTTTGGCATTGCTTGCTAGTGGGGACCGCGTTTTCAGAAAATATATATACAGAGCACGTTGATCGAACGGATGCAATTTGATAAGGGATGTGAAAATGAATAAGGGACGTTTAAGAAAATGATTGCACGTACGAGGAACGCGTGACTGCTTTTGTGAAAGATAAATGATGCTCCAATTCTTGTCAAACATTCCCGCATAGCACGCGGTTTATTCATTGTATATCATTGACTTTTTGCATCGTGATTTCCGTATAGAAAACGAGATAAGGCTGATGTCAAAGACTATAAAATGACGAGTGAGACTGTGAATCATTGAATCATCGTCATGTTTAACATTTTAGACACTCGCCTGCGGAATTCGCTAAAACGAAGACAAATCGTGACGCTTCGGCATTATCGTTGATCGAGTGGATCCTTAAATGCAATATCGGTATTCTCGAACGCGTACCGGAAACGACATTGGTATTATTAACGCCTCGATGAAAAGAGGGACAGTGAAGTGTCGATGCAACTACCATTGTGTTAAAAGTTTAAGAACAATGGTGGCTTTAGAAGTATAACAACGAGATACTTATACACCGAAGAAAAAAGGATGAACCGAAGGCGTGTCGTATAATTTGCAAGGTTGTATTTATTTATAAGGTTGTATTTATCGATCTCGCAGACTACTGATCGAAACGGGAGATTCTCGTAATTATTATTTTTAAATAGTAATAAATAAATAAACAAAAAATAGTAATAAATAAATAAAATAGTAATAAATATTTTTTAAATAGAGTGCATCGGAAGAAAGAACGTAAGGAGTAAGTCAGAAAGAAAAAAAAAAGGCAAAAACGCGGTAAAATTGAAGATGCGTCACATAACTCGTAAGGCAATGTTGCATTAATCATCAAAAGTGTTTTATATAGTACTGATTGAAATGATAACGTCTGTTTCTGACAGAGTATCTATCATCGTGAGACAGAGTGGCGTGTAAAAGGTAAACCAAACGAAAAGCGAGGAGTTTCATTGACTAACGTTTGAGTTTTCGTTACGATTGCAACGAATTATATAATCGATCGACAAAAAGAGAAAAAGAGAGATAGAGAGAGAGAGAGAGAGAGAGATGTGTAAAGTACATCGAGAATGACCTTCACTGCCGTCTCGTCTGTTTGTCTATCATCGATTGAGAAGAACTCGAAGAGATAAGATCGTGCGCGATTTAATTATTATTCATCCGTGATCGTTTTGGCGGTGTAAAGAGAAGGATGCGGCACGCATGCCGGAAGAAGATGATTGTAGCGTGGCGCTATTCTGACAAGAATATCGGCGAGATCGTCTTCTAAGAAAAAGCTGCAGTTGGCTATGCTGTGTCTCTCGGCACAGCAGGTGTATCGTGAGAGATGACAGTCACTTATACTGCCGAAGTCGCTACCTGTAGAGGTTTCGGTTGCTTTCTAAAATTACTCCTAAGGTAAGTAGTTTCGACTTTGCTAAACTCTGTTTAGCCGACGCAACACAATTCGCTCTCGTTTATTTTTACTCTTCGTTCCTCTTGTCAATGACATTCATTTCAGTTGATTCCTACACGTTATCGCTACGACGTTCCCTTTAGTTGAAGATAATCATTGCGTACTCAGCACTCGGTAGATAGCGTTCTTTAAATGAACGAACAATAAATCTCCAGATACTCTGTATTAATGGATCTTTTTCTGAATATTGTCTTTGCACGCGGTACAATTATCAGATAGCGTCGTAACGTCTGAATCGTATTTTCAACACTTCCGTCATTGCGTTTCCGCGATGAAATCGTGTCATTTGAACGCGAAGGATATCAAGAAGAAACGCAACCAAGGTTATACATATCTCTTGTACATGTACCGAGCATGTGTGTAAGAAGATCGTATCGCTCATTTTCTAGCACTTGCGTTTCATGTAGCATTCGTTATTTACGTAGAGTACGTTGAAACTAACAAGGACGTTAAAACTAACCTAAAAGGATCATTATTTTCATCTTACACGAAACGTTTGCTTCGTTGATTTAAAGACAGCTTCTATATATACAACATCAATGCACGCACTACGCAGTTTTGTTCCTTTTTTTTTCTGTTGATCTGTGGCCATTGACCTTTCTATTATTATTTCAATTACATTGTATCCGTACTCGGATGCGTGGTATGTTTCAAACTTGTCACGTGCGAACCATGCCCTAAATTGCGCGCATGTTGGGCACTTGTTTGCTCTTCGAAGAACTCTTTACAGTTATTTCGTTTATCTGAATTCTGTTGTACTGCAACGAAATTCTAACCAATGTTCCGTTATTCTGCAAAATAAAGCATAATAGATAGCATTCTTTTCTTTCAAGAGAAGAATCTAAAAATTACCGGAAACGTGGAAGATAATTCTGGAGAATGATAAATATTATGTTTCAGTAAAATTTTTCAAAGTTACACATAAATATGACGTTGTCATGTTGTGATGTTGTAATATTATTGAACATCATGTATATAAAGCCTTTGTTGCTCAGCAAGTTTAGATAAGTGGAATTCTGTAATATTCTTGCTTTCGAGAGACTCGTTGAAGTATTGATTGTTTGACGATGGAACGTGAAACAGTAATATTTACCTGCGTGTTTCTGATTCAGTCGTTTTTTAGTATTCACGGCACACCGTTTCATTACCTTTTTCATTAGCGGAACGTTTATTGCGATAACAGAACCTCTTAATGATCCAACGACCTACAAGCGTATTTCACGCTTATCCTGAAAGATATTTTCGATCACGCGTCACTCTTTCGAAAAAAAAAAACAAAAAAAACTGTGTAGATTTCGCATTCAAGGCCCGCAACGGGAGACCACAATTCCGCGAATCGATCCGCGCTCATTTCCCTCCGTTTGCTCGTTATCGGGTCACGTTATGTACAGCAACTTACCAAAGTCGTAGAAACTTTTCTGAATGCATGTTGTACGAAATTGAGTGTTGCGTTGAAACTGGATTATATTGATAAAAGAATCTGCTATACGTGAACGTAATGGATATTTAAGATTTATTTAAATCATTGTATATGTCAGCGGGCCATTCGTGTCGCACATATATTAATCTTTTGTTTAATATTTAATATATTTAATATATAATATACAATATTTAAATATTTAATATTTAATATTTGATATTATTTAATTATATTATAATATTATATATTATATTAAATAATATAAGAAGACATATATTATATCTTCTTATATATATCTTCGGATTGATTTTAAGCTTGATGAATAACCGTGATAGTCGTGTTTCATTATCGATGTTTTAAAAAATTTTATATAATACATTTAATACGTACATATGTACTTAGATTAGGTTTAGGTTTTTAATTTTATTTTTATTAATACCTATGTACCCATACTCTACGTAATATAACTATTATAATACCTATGTATTATATTATATATATCTTTATTAATATATAAAAATATATAAAATAATATACAGGTATTATAATAATTATATTATATAGTATATAAGTATATAGGTACATAGATATTAATAGAAATTTTAAAAACCTGAACCTAATCTAGTACATAGGCATTAAATATATATACATATATTTATTTATTAATTACATAAAGGGTTAATAATACTTTCCAAATACTTTCGTGAGCGTATACCGATCATGTTGTGATGGCGTGCTGGCACGTAAACAGTCATTTTGCCCGTGATTACCGTGAACAATGGAGAATTGTCCGAGTGTCACACGCGGATATCACAATTACGAAATTTTTTTAAACGTGAATTATACAAAGAAATTCCTCAAGAAGAGAAGAAAACGACCTCGTAATTCCGATATATTCAATGTGATTAAGCCTTTGCTTACGGTCGTAATAATCGTCGGACGAACTGTTGGATTTCTCAGAACTAATAGATTCAAACTGCGTCTTGGATCACGTGATTTCGTGATTTAAACTAATCGTAAATATCGATCGAGCGCTCATGAAACTGTCGTTATATACTTTTAACGTGTATCGTTCGTTTGATTGTTAACGGTTCATTTCTTTTTCCAGATGGCGGGCAAGCATATACAAGCTTGTCTGGTTGGACCTGCTCCTCTTTCTTTCCATATACTACACGCTGTCGTGCATCTACCGATTCATCCTAGACGACGAGCAGAAGAAGACATTCGAGGCCATAGTGGCGTACTGCAGCGAGTACAGCGATCTGATACCACTGTCTTTCGTCCTGGGCTTCTACGTCAGTATTGTTATGACCAGATGGTGGAATCAATACATGGTGATACCGTGGCCAGATTCAATCGCGGTTTTCGTATCGGCCACTATTCACGGCAACGACGAGAGAGGTCGATTGATGCGCCGAACTATCGTTAGGTGCGTGTAATACGTGATAGTGAGCGAAGGGCATCTGTCGTTAAAATTAAAATGAATTCATGAATATTCGTCAATGAAAATAAAATGTCGTACTTTGCACGACGAAAAGACAGTAACTATCACGGTGAACAACAGCAATTACCACGATTAATTTCAAGGAGAGAATTAGAATTCAGTTTTTACTTTTTTTTTTTTTATGTTTTCGTTTTATGACAATTGTCTGTCTCTTTTCTTTTCATTTCAGGTACGTGTGCGTTTGTTTAACGCTGGTATTGGCGATGGTCTCGCCCCGCGTGAAGAAACGATTCCCCACGTTGGAGCACTTCGTGGAGACCGGTCTGTTGTTGGAGAACGAGCTGGTCATATTCCAAAGACTCAATGCAAAGTTCCCTAAGCCGAGCAAGCATTGGTTGCCGATAGTGTGGGCGTCGAGTATCGTGACGAGAGCGAGGAAGGAGGGTCGGATTCGCGACGACTTCGCCGTGAAAACCTTGATAGACGAGCTGAACAAGTTTCGCGGTCTTTGCGGCAACCTCATGCATTACGATACAATTAGCGTCCCTTTAGTTTATACTCAGGTAGGTGTGACGAGCCTGCATCGAATCTATGCGCACGTTTGTCAAGAATCATTTTCGTAGGTTGTTACCCTGGCGGTGTACACGTACTTTCTAACGAGCGTAATGGGCCGTCAGTGGCTGCAGAATTCGTCAAAGTCGATGATCGATTACTACTTCCCAGTTTTCACGACGTTGCAGTTCTTCTTTTATATGGGCTGGTTGAAGGTAGCTGAAACGTTGATCAATCCCTTTGGCGAGGATGACGATGACTTTGAAGTCAACTGGATAATCGACAGAAATTTACAGGTATGACATTTATCAGAAGGATCATCGTGCTGTTTTGTTAATGGACTTTTAATAGTGGATGCAGTTATAAAAATGCACAGAGCACTCAACCTTGAGAAACGCATGGATTAATCGTCACTTTTTAAATGAAATTAGAACAAGATTCTATGTCACAGCCAGAACCATTCATCGCCTAAGGATTAACGTAGGTATCTTCAATGCGTTTAAATGTTTGGAAACAGGTGAGCTACCTTATCGTCGACGAGATGCACCACGAGCATCCGGAATTAATCCGCGATCAATACTGGGACGAGATCTTCCCTACGGAGCTTCCGTACACGGCGGCAACGCAGCCCTTCCGCGAGGAGCATCCCCAACCGTCCACCGCTGGAATTCAGTTGTCCGCGGCGCAGCAAGAACTTCAACCGTCCTCGGTCAGGATCGATGAAATGGCAGCTGACTATCAACAGAAGTTCCATTCTGACTTGGCGGACGACGCCGCGTCTGGTATACATTTCACAGCGACCGGGAAAATGTCAAGGTTGGTTTTGAAACTGATGCCGTTTTTATGAATGTTTCACTCGACGCGATACGGTTTTCTGTAAACGCTCACATGCCTAACGCTTGACGCCAGGAGCGCAACCGAGAGTGGTAAAATAGCGAGGTAATGACATTTCCTTTCGCACGTATGTATGTATGTATATATCTATTTGCTGTACAAGTCGCGACACTGAGTACGATATACGAAGTATATAAAAATCGTCATTGAACCGGAGGTGTGTGTATTTATTTATAGAAGCGCTAGCAGAGTGAGCAATCGGGATCGTACTCTGAGCGGTGGCTCCACTCCAAGCATCATCGGGGGTTCCCTAACAAGAGTCAACAGCGTGACCAGCGTGTTGAAACGATTGTTTAGTAAAGAGGATAGGCCAGATGGCGGCACGTCGGCTGGCACTAAAACTCCTGGAAGGCTCGCGAGTTCCAGTTCGGCCGCTTCGTTGCAAAATCGAGCCACTGGTATGTATAGATTTTGTACTTTGTGTTAAGAATTGCGCGTGACATGTGTATGCGTATTCTTCGGACCAAACTATAAACATGTTCAACATGTACGGAACGTTTTAAATAGCAGGGGGAGGCTCGATGAGAATTGGAGTAATCAAAGAAGAGGCGGACGAACAAATGACGTTAACGTCAATGAAATCGGAGAAGAAACCTCACGTACAGAGCATATTTTCGACGGGACCACCACCTGCAAGCGCTCCTGTTGCTGTACCTGGCATGGAGTATTCGCGAAATGAGGAGATATTTTCGTGTAGCGCTCCTCTAACCGGTGTCTCGTTAGAAAGCAACGTCGTTGGAAGCTCCAACGGCAGGAGGTGAATCAAAGTTAACAATTTTTCCTCAAGGTTAACGAAATCTTTCCCTCGCCAAACCAAGTTGAAACAATGAAATTTTGCGAATTTTCAGCGCGCAACGAGTGTCGCAGTCAGCGCGATCGAGCATTACCTACGAACCAGCAACGAGCTACGTTGGCAGCGTTGTGGATGACCTTATAAGCAGTCGTAGTTCGTCATTGGCCAGCGTCAATTCGGACGACGAATTCACGAAATTGAAGACGGAAAGAGAAAGACAAAGACGCGAAAGGATTGAACGAAGACTGGCTAGAAGCATCAGTGGACACACTAACTTGATCAGTAGACAGTCAAGAGGTTCTCTGGATAATGAACATCTTTTGCTGTCGGAGTTGGCGAATACCTCGCGTTTATCTATGGCGCGGGACGACAGTGATGACAAAAGAGTCGAAAGTGACCGTCTTTAGCAGACCTGTCTATGGGCTTATTTTGAAGTCTAATTTAAATTGTGCAAAATTTTTACGACAGTAGTTTTATCGATCAGTCAAATGATCGAAGAAAGTACGTGAATTTTGCATGGACTTTTATGACTTGATCAATATTCACGGCCATATTAATGTATATATGGGTTTTTAATTAGAAAGAGTTTAACATTTGATGATAAACAACGTACGAGTCAAGTTTAAGTAGTTATAATAATTGACGAAAGACGCAAGGTGAGAAAGTGTAGAGCTAATCCATTGTAAAACGGCAAAAACTATTTAATAATCGCGTTTGGATTTATTGTAAGGGCAAGACGTTTGCCTTCTAATAAATATGACTTGAGGATTGTGTAAAAGATCAAAAAGGTTACATACGCAAGTATGCAAACGTCAAACGTACCGGTATACCTCTCACTTCAAATTCTACGTATCGAAAAATGACAATAATTGCGAGGACATTGTCATGGAATATCGCCTTAAAGTGTATTGATATCTACATTTTTACATATTTACATTTAGCAAACGTTATAAGGTAAATCGTAGTTGTCTAAAGTTCAAAAAAAAAAAAAAAAAAAAAGAAAGTCGTAAAGAGTTAATTACTTAATTTTTAATCTAGCAAGTCGATCTTTCTGTTCAATTTTTCTAGATTTAAAGCATCACGGAGACTAGTTGCTCGTACAAGAAGCTCCCGAAGACATTCTGATCAAATTTTTGTATTCGGTTCGCGGATTTTGATTGTTACGAAGGTGTTGAAAGTGCCTGCCTTGTGCCTACGTACTTTATACAATCAGAAAGCAGTACTCGACACTTGTTTATCGTTCAATAGTAGCTTAAGTTTCTACTCTTTCGCGTAATGTGTGATCAATGTTGCGCTCAAAGTTAGCAGTGCGTTCGAGCATGTACATTCCAGGAAACAAGGAGATCTAGATCGAAGAGAAAGTCAATGAAACGACCGCACGTCCACAGGATATGCCTAATTTCGTATTTTTCTTACGTTTGTAATATGCATTATCGTAATATCGCACACACTTTCAACCAAAATATGGATTTAAATTACTTGGTAGACGATAGAAAAGTAACAAAACTTTAGGAGAAATTTCGAATCAAAAAATGACGACGAATAAAGAGAATCTTGTATCTAGAGGAATTAGCAAAAGAATGTGTACGCGTGTATAGAAGCTTGCAAGCCTAGTTAACGTTCGTTAACTGCCTCGTTACTGTACAACTCTTTCATTTCGGAATCCACATTCCAGAGCGCGATTAATTAAATCTGACGATGCTTGTACAGCCAAGCGTTTTGTTTAACAGTATTACAAGGTATCGAAGAGGTACCCTCTCGGATTTTCGTCGATCCTTTTTTCTGAATAAAGAAAAGTGAATTGCAAACATCAACAAATTCTCAAGTTTTTTTGTACAAACGTTCCCTGAAGGATACCCCGAACGCGAGGCTTTGAAACGGAGGTTTTGAATTTTCCCGCCGGAAATAGCTGCGAGATGTCGCGGCGATCGACGGAGGACGGCCAGGTAGAGGGGGACGCTTCGTGAACGATCGGGGGAGCTCGGCAGTGTTCGGGCGTCGTCGTTCGGCTCCGCGAGCAGGCGTCGGCGGCTCGCGGAGTGGGGGCCGTCAGTGGGCAGCCGTCGGCGAGAGGTGGCGGTGGTTTTGTAAGGCGAAGAAAAGAGGGGTTAAGTGAGCCGTGCCGGGCCGTAGAAGCGAGCAAGCGGTGGCGCGGCCCGTGCTCGTGCCATAGGGCCTCTGCCAGGCATTAGTGCAATCGTTTACAAGATGGCAGACGGTCCGTCCGCGGAGGACGCGGCCACCGATCTCGGGGACAGTGATTCTCGTTTGACGAGGGAGCGACACAAACGTCAGGACGCATCGTCGTTTTCGATGACGTCGTTGAGCACGGGCCAGGACATCGCGAGACGCACCCACGAAGACGCTTCCGCACTCGAGACGCATCCTCATTATCGGCAACAACACCAGTATCGTCCTCTCCGTCGCAATTGTCACGCTAATCCTCGTCGGCACAGTAACGCTAACAACAACAACAACAATAGCGGTAATTCGAGCAACAGTAACCATCGTCGGGAGCACGAGCACGACGAGAACGCCGATGGCAAGGAACGCGTTGGTAAAAACGAGAGTGGTGTCGGTGTTGACACGACGTGTTCTGTTGCTTCGCGAGGCAGGCAGGAACGCGACGAGAACGACGAGGACGACGAGGAGGACGAGGACGAGAATGGGGAAGACTACGAGGTGGATAAGGTAGATAGGAGCGGTGCAAAGGGTAGGAGGGGTGTGTCGAAAAAGTGCCGCGGCTCGGCTCGGATCGACGCGACAAAGACGAAAAATGTGACGAAGGCGAAGAACGAGGAGAGCGACAGCGAGAATGGTAATGGTGGTAGTAACAACAACGACAGTAACGGTGGCTGGAAGGGTGGCTCGATGACCGGTCACGCGACGCACGGCGGTGACAATACCGGTGGTGGTGGGTGTTCGGTCGGCGACGGTCGACGGTCGAGGCCCGCGGTGGTCGGTGGTGCTTTCGTCGTCGATGCGACGATGACGATTTCGACGAGTTCTCTGAACGAGAGTGCGAGCGATATGAAAGAGTGCCGCGTAGACGACGACAACGACAACGACGAGGACGAGGACGAGGACGAACGAGAATGGAAACGCGAGCGCGAGCAACGCGAAGAGTACGGGCGCGAGCGAGATCGCAATAATGATCGTCAGGAGAAAGAAAAAGCGAATCGTAGCAGTGGTAGCGAGAAGATCGGCAGAGACGTGGAGGAGGACGTGTCCGGAAAAACGACGAACGACATTGCTAGTGATGGAAGTAGTAGTAGTAGTGATGGTGGTAGTAGTAGTAGTGGTGGTGGTGGTAGTAGTGGTGCTGCTGCCGCTGCTGCTGCTGTTTCTGGTTCTGGTGGTGGTGCTGCTGGTGCCGCTGGTGTTACTACAAATAGCCTCGTTGCTGGCAGGCATCAGGGCAGCCCTTTCAAGGGACAGGTTAGGATGGCCGAGGACACCCTCGTCGGCCCTTGCGGCAAGAAGCGGTGCGCCGATCGATACGACAGTTCCGAGAGCTCTGACAGGTGAGTGTGAGCGAGATAGCTTCTTTCTCTCGTGGTTCGACACGGCGAACGTTCGCCTCGAGGAACGAGCTCGCCGAGCTCACCAGCGGAAGGAAGAAACAAACGGCAAGCCGACTAGAGAATCACGACCCAATCTTTCTACCTACTCCGACTTCTCTCCCATCTTTCCTCAATTTAGTAGGCGATCGTGCGCCTTCTTTTTTTATCTTTGTTGTGTTTGCTTTGGCGATAGTACCAATGTCACGTATCTCGATAACTATTTAATAATATAATTGCTAATATTATACACGTAAGTATACATGTAGATATATACACACGGCGTAACTGAGAACGTTCGGTCGTTGTACACGTATCTCGTGTTTACGTTTCTTCGAAGTAGGTTTCTTTCTTTTTTTTCCTTCGTGACAATCCGCTGTCCGCGTCGTCTCGGGAGGAGCCACTTGTGTGTATGATGAAAGAGGTTAAATGTGCCGATGCATGTGAAATACATAAATACAATTTGCACGACGAATCTCGGTTCAGCTCTCTCGGGTCTCTCGAGGTTAAAGGAATGCAATGGTCAGTAAGTGAGTCTCGGTTCGGGCATCGCAATTAGTGCGAAGGCGCGTTCGACAGGCAGGCCAGGGGTCGTTGTACCGCGGTTACGAGACCGACAACCGTGGCTGCGTTCGATCTGTGTGCGCCGCGTGTTTATAGGTTCGTAGATGCTGCCAACTCGCCCTCTCGTTCCGCCTCTTTTTCTCTATCTCTCTCTTTCTCTCTTTCTGTACTTGCTCTTCCTCTCCTGTTTCGTTCGTTCCTTCTCTTTCCGGCCCTTTTTCCCTGTACGAACTTATCGTGTCAGAAGCGAGCTTTGCGTTTCGTGACGGTTGCTAGCCGTCCAAACTATTCGAGTATTTGTAGAAATTTTCTATGAAACATTTTGTACCAGTTGTACAATATCGTAATGTGACGTGTGTATTTAGAAGTAAAATATGAATTTCGAGTACATTGTACGAGTTCTTGTTCTCGTGTTGTTTCTACGACAACAATCTATCAAACGACAAAGCGTTTGAACGAATATATCGTTCTTCGTTGAATTGAATAAAATTCATTAAAAACAAAAGTATTGCTAAAATAGAAATAACCTTCAATATTGACACTTCACTTTGAACTTTCGTTTCTATTGTTCTTGGAACATGGACGTAATCTCGTTGTTGTTTAAAAGACACAGATGAGAAACAAAATATTCTTCAGAACGGTGAAAGATGTTTGACGAAAAGTCATTGAAAGACGAAGGATTTTCGTTGAAAATTGATAGACAGTAAGGATAGTTAAATGCTTTTTTAACGTAACGTTCGTACTGCTTTCGTGCTCGGCGTTTGATTTCGCGTGGAAAAGAGGCCGCAATAAAAGTTTAGCATTCTAACGGTTCTTTCTCTTTGATACGCTACTGAACTCGAGCGTTTCGTACGAAGAAAATACGTACGTGTAGCCTGACCGCGCCATTGTCTTTTCGTGCCTCGGTTGCGAGCAACGTTCGCCAGACGTAACTTCCGTTTACATGTTTTCCCAATCGGTCGGGGAAAGTGTTACGCGTTGTCCGTTTAACCTTGCCGTTCAATCCGTGTTATATAATTATTTTTTCTTCCTCTTTTTTTATTTCTTTCTTTGTCTCGACGAATAATGCTCCGGTTATTTCTGAAATACGCCAGAGCTTATCATAATCGTACTATCGCCGTGTTAAATCAAAATGGCGTGTCCGCAACTTCCGCTTGAACCCGCAAGTCAAGTTAAAAGACAAGAAGATAATTTGTCTAGCGTACAATGACAGTGAAAAATGATCGATGATTTAAACTGATGTAACAAAGGCAAAAGAAGATCTACTTGTGCCTAAAGTGGAAGCTTCACAATTTAATAACGTGACCGAGTTATTACCACCTTTTTTTATAAAGTTATCTCAGTTCGATTTATCTACAATTTTTGATTATCATTAGCATAACATGAAAAAATCGCAATCGCGTTGAAACTGAAGTTTATATTTTGGCTGTGCATGAAATCGTTGAATACTGAAAGTCTTCTGTAAAAAGTCCTGCTTCGTCGAACCTTCTTTCGATCAGATATGTAGTTAGCCTGTTCGAATTACCACACTTTGTACGGTCTAGTAATACTATATTTAGGAGAAAACCTGAGGGGAATTCTGTCAGACGGTGTTTCGGGCAATGGTATATCACATCGAAGGGGCAGAAGGGCGAGGGGGAGGGGAAGAGGGAACCAGTTTATTTTTTTCCAACCGTGTTTTCCCGGCGTGTGTCTCGAACTAGGCTGTTTTAGCAACTCCCCTCGCGTTTGCTTTGCGTCGAGAATTTTTTGTCCCAAAATTGCATTCTTTTCTCAGATTTAAGTATATTTAAGTATAACCCAGGCAAGACAAATAATAAATTTATTACTTCTCAATAATTTCTATCCGGTGATATCGCATCGACGAGTTTAAAAAGAAAGCGACGAATTGTTGTATACGGTTTGGTCACTCGTTATGGTCCGCAATCAGTTGCAAGTGGTTAAGTCGCTCACGGTGTATTTCACTCGCCTACGAATCCCTACAAGGGTACATTTACACCTGGAATCCTTGTGTAACAATGTGTTTTTTTTCTTCTTTTTTTTTTTGGGGGGGGGGGGGTTCGGTTTAATCGCTCGGCTAGAGATAGTTGCGTTTAACTTCGATAACGATTATCTGGTTACCGAGAGATCTACGCGCTCGTGCTACGCGTTCTTTTTTTCTTTTTTGAAATATACGTTTTTAAATATACTGGCCATTCTCGCACGATTGAACGTAATTGTCAACATTAACGCATTAGCGAGTAGTTTCTGTCTCTACAAATATTTCAAAATAATTAAAACGGGATGAGTATCGTTGACAAGGAATTCAAAGTGGAATAAATAACTACGCTTTCGTTGTACTTCGTCGTGTAGAAATTAAATATTTTGTCCCACAGACAGAACGTGGTAGTCAACGTGTTGATAAACTTTCGATTGATTATTCTTTTTGGAGTAAAATTGTAAGACTACGAAAATGACAAGTCAGGTTCTGACTGATATTATTAGTTGTACTTTATTGCAACGTAATATCTTATGGAAATTAAATATTTTGTCCCACAGACAAAACGTTGGACAAAATTCTCGGTCGATTGTTCTTCTCCGGATAAAGTTGTGATTGTAAAAATCAGTTGTCAGGTTCATTAATTTTACTAGTTGAAATATTATCGTGCAATCCGTACCCTCTAGCGGGGGGAGAACGAAGCTCCAATAATTCCCGCGAATTCATTCGTTTCTCAATGAATTACCCTTCTTTTATTTATGCAACGAATGGCATAAATATCGCAGAGTATCCTCGTGTAGATAATTCGCCAGTACTCATTAGCTAAACTCAAGTATAAGTTGACAAATTTTCGGAATTAGCTAAAAAATTCAACTGTAAGTTGACAGATTTTCAAACTCGATTCTCGCAGCGGAAAAATTCTGTTCTTTCTTATCGACTCGTTTTCTCGCAAGTCTCACATTGGTTACGGGACACCCTGTATGTAACCATCTGTGGAGATAAGATCGACCAGCGGCTGACAAGTAGTTAATTCTCGCATTGCTCGCTCAACATCACGATGACGCATTGCTCGTGGTAGAATGTCAGACGCAGGAAAGTACGAGAAAATCCTCGTTCGTGATTCAGCGCAGGAACGTTTGTTTTAGGCAATTAACCTGTCTTTGTTCAAAGAAATTTCGTATCGATTGGTAAGAACGAGAGACAGGGAGCGATAGAGATTTTTTAGAATTTTCAAATCTGATTCACATTGTGGATCACGATTCAACGTTAAAGTCTGTTTGTTTCGCGTTTTTTCGTCGCTCTGGTTTCATTAGGGGACTGCGGCAGCGGCGAACACGTGACCACTGAGAACTTGCGAAAAGGCTCGGCTGGTATCGATGCGCTCTGTATTTTCAATCTTCAGTCACGCTGGCACCACCAAAGTCAAATGACCATTTTGAATATTTTCGTCGGATATAGAATAAAATAATTACGATAAAAGCTCGTGTGTCCTGTTGTATTATAAACATTTTCGCTTTTATTTTGACGTGTCTGAAATCTTCGATACTAGGAGATTAGTTTGCACGTGAAATTCGTAAAAATTTCACTCTGAACTTGGAGTACTCGAGACACTGAATCCTAGACTGTAGAGTTTCATACGAGATCATACATTTGAAAGTATGATTTCCGAAAATGAAAATCCGAGTTTGGATGGGAAATTGTTTTACAAATTTTAATTGCTAAACAATATATAGAAGCATTGTACTGTGAATATTTTATGTATTTTTTTTTATATTATATAGTTTTGCATGTTGTATATTATGTTTTTTATATTATATGCATTGTGAGCAAATTTCTCACAAATACAATCCACAGTCTGGCTATATCTAAATGTTCTGTGTTTGAAATTACGAGTCTTGAAACATACCACCAAACGACATTTTTATTCAACTTCTTACTGAAATTTGAAGTTTTTAAAGTAAATACTTTAATCGATACTTTTTAATTGAAAAGTAAACAATTAAAAGTAACTAATAATTTAATTGAAAAACAAGTAATTTTTTATTTTAAGTCTTCGATTCATGTGTATTCGTACACGCAGGTAACTGGTTAATTTCCCACGAAAAGTGCTTCAGGATCTCGCGTTTGGTTAGAATCCAATGTTATACAGGCAGTTTAGAACCTTAGGATCGTAGTGTATCGCATTTCGCGGGATGAAAGTCTCTTTCTAGCAATATTTTCACGGCGAGCGAGAGCTGCGGCCAGCTCGGGGGCCCGACTCGGATAACAGAGCCCCCTACTCCCCTCCCCCGTCTGTTTTTCGTGTTGTAATCTGGTCCTCTCGGGCCATCTTGCACGCACGACATCCAGACGCTTTATCGCGGCTCGAACGCGCTTCGATAATCGGCCGAATTCGCCTCGATGCTCGTTAATCTCCGGCCTT